CACAAAAAATGATAAATGAAAAAACCCTTTCATCTCATTATTTCCAATATGGATCACGAATGAAATAACATTTTTATGTGAAACTTTCTTTTGGACAGTTTATAGTTTCTCTTGCTTGATTTTTATGTTCGAATCGATTATTGTAAAAGTTTTTATTTTATTTCAAAAATAATTTTAGTAAAAATGTATAGGTATGTATACATCGCTTCCTTGCTACAATTCGGAAAAAATATGTTTTGGTATTGAACAAAATATGAATCTGGTATTGAACAAAATTAGATATTATTTTGTTAATTAAAGAAACAACGCAATTCAAAGTAATACACTTCTTATCAATGTGCATTTGTTCACAGTGATAGTTAAGATTCATAATAAGAGATATTTATAGAATGCAGCGTAGTGTTACCTGAATCAAAAAGAGAAACATAATTCTTCTTTTTTGTCGACTGAATTACGAAGATTAATAAAGAAAATTTCTTCATTATTAATTCACAAAATCACTATTAATGAAAAACTGCCTTTACAACATTTTTGTACTAATAACTCGAGTATCACGTTTTGTAAGTTATGCCACTTTCGTCGCAAAGGAGCGATATATATTTAGGAAATTTTAAATTAATTTTAAATTTTAAATGACAGATCTAATACAATAAAATTTCAACTTTTATGAATTCGTGGTTAGCCTTAATAATTGAATAGGAAATTTCTAAATTTCACCGAGGATTTTCAATATCTTCGATATTATTTTGCACTAGAATCACTCGGATCATACTTGTAATCGATTCTTCTTCTAATACAATAATAATTAAATATAATTATATATATTATTATATCTTTATTTATTTATTTCATTATTTGTTTCATTTATTTTTGTCAGTGATTGATTGATTAATAAATTAAAGTTTATGCAACTTTAATTTAATGTTTACGTTCGTAAGTATCTTAACAAGTTTAAGTTAAAGTTTACGTGATTTCATTATATTATGGAGAGTTTAGGGATTAATATAATTGTACTTACGTATTCGTATATACAATTAATCGTTTTGAAAATATTTCAACGTCTTACAGATAATTCATCCCGTATATAATTATATTTTGGGAAACGTGTAGATTATTTTGCACAAATGTAGATTTTATATCTTCTATCGTTTAAATATAAAACAAGTTTAAAATTAAAAGTTTGTCTTTTTTTTTTTTGTTTTTAAAATTGAATTTACAAAAACTGAGGTTGATAGAGAAAAACAGATTCGTAATCAGCATACAGAAATCAAAAAAATCTAGAAATTAAACTAAATTTAAACTATTTGCTATAAAAAAAAGCTATAAAAAAAAAAATTTTCGAATAATATTACTAATACTAAGTTTTATAATAGTAACATAATTGTATAATTATTCCTGTGTTATTACAATTAATAGTTATTAAATTATCATTTACTAGTTCTAGTTAAAGGGACTAAAACAGTTTAAAATTTATATTATTATGATAAAGTTTAACATGAAATAAATCATCGTAAAGTAAACAAGGAAACATGAAATATCATTTATTTACAATCCATCTTATTATTATACCTCTATAATAATAAAAATATACGTAATTGATTTTTCAAGATCATAATTATGTCATTATCCAATAATTATATTAATGTAGTTAAATGACAGTAATATTACTTATAATTACTTATAATTACAGTAATATTACTAATATTTTAAAGTTGAATTTAATTCCTTATCTGAAATTTGAATAAAAACATTCGAGTACCACGCCAATGAATTGGTTGAATTAAAATTTTTTCAATTATATTACTTGTAACAGTACTTAAAATAACTAATATATTAAACTTCTATGAAATGATTATCCAAATCTTATTATATTGTTAGTTCAAATCTTATTATTAGTTTATTACTTATATTAAAATTTAATAAAATTGTATATTTGAAATATTTACTATGAAATTGAATTGTAAATAAATGATATTTTATATTTTTATCTGGTCTTAATTCCTAAAAAATAATTTAATTTCTAAATAATTGCAATTCAAAGTTAATTTATTATCTTAAATTAAAAATTTTTGCAATGACAACAACGGTGAAATATCAAACTGTAAGGAAATTTTAAATTGTAACTACAATAAGTATCTATGTTTATATATGTAACTCTTTTTGAACAAAATTTACTCAAACAATCCGTCCAGTATTTTTTAATTGCAACACGATACTGTTGCACTTAATACCATTTGTAAAAAGTATCATATTCTATTAACAATAATTTGACAAAAAGATTACGTTTAATTATTAAATTAGATAAAAGCTATTGGATAACTTCTATATAAACAATTTTTTTATATCTCTGTCTTTGTATTTTCAAGTGGCCATTTTATTATGTATAACAATATTATTCAATCTTATTCAATCCATTTTGTAAATGGATTTTTTTTAGAAAATATTCGAATACTAATTGATTACGCACAAGACTAATTTGGGGATTAATCTACGTTAAAAGTGATTACTACGTAAAACAATTTGAATGTTCTCTTATAGTCACCCCTTCCTCTCGTTATTACCACCACCACCTATTCACCGAACACTTTTTTTTATGTGATTTTGATGTTTTTCTATGTTTGTCTCGGATAGGAGCTGAATAAAATATCAAAGTATAAATATTTTAATAATTTTAATGATTCATATATCATTGCTAAATTTAGAAATAAGTAGTATTGTGGTTTTTTCAAATCAAAGTAGTGAAAAGCAGTTATTATCGTATTAGTATCTATATATATATATATATATTAAATGGTTGAAATATAATTTATTATATATTTTTAACAAAATGATAAATATATTTGAAATAAGTCCGTATTATTCACAGAAAAATAGAATTTTTATTCGGCTCCTTTATGACTACTTTTTTATATACACATAGTTGTCTGTCCTACTTTGCTTCGTAGATTGTACGCAACACTATGTCTCTTTCTGCACGATCGTGTATTATAAAAACTCCGTGTAACATAAATCACAGTATGGAACGAAAAAAATATTTCATTTATGTTGATAGACTTGTGTGTGTAGCGTATGAATTGATACGTCAATTTTGGAATAAAAATTTTATATTTTAATTTGAATTTTATTTTAAAATTTTACTTTGAAATCTGTGCGTACGATGATGCATTATTATGCGGCAGTACTTGTAGTGCAGAGAAAACATACAAGTAATAATTTGGTTTCATAAAACAAATATATACACACGTAAGATAATTTTAAATAGTTTTAAAGAAAGAAAGAATATTGTACGTATCACATGTGATACAAGAAACCGTCTCCAAACATAATGATACATTATTTTGTTAATCAAATTAATCAACAAGAAGAATAATATTTATAAAACTAGATCGAAAAACATGGAGGACAAGTTTTTCTGCTAAGAATTAAATGTACATATATGCATTGTTTTAAAACTTCAAAATAAAGATATAAATACAGAATGTTCTATATAACCAAGTAGAAAATGATTCGAAAATGATTCGAAAAAATAAGTCGAAAAGAAAGAATAAAATTGTTTCATTTACAGCTTTGTTTCCAAGACTGAACTTATTAGCTTTGACTACTTACTAAGATCATTAAAAGTCTAGCAACATATAACAAATTAAAAATTTATTCATCTTTAAACGCGTATGTTCTGATGTACTTATTTAGTGAATTATTTTGAACATTTTAGATTATCCGTACGGTACTCTAGTACTTTTAGATTTAATTTTCTTGAAACGTCTTATGAAAAAACTTTATTCGATGTTTTCGATCTATTTTTGCGAAATAGAACAATCTCTTGTTGATTGTCCATTCACTCCTCTTTAGCGCAGGATTACTCAAATTCGAATATTTATACAAATTTCCAAACTTGATTTTTTCGAAAACGGAGCCTTGAATGAAAAAATTTTCTTTTTTTTGTGTGTGTAGGTGTATGTACAACCTTCTATTTGGTTGTACTACCAGTTACAGAGCACTCTGTATATGTATTGCATTAGAAATACATAGTATAAATACAAAAACTGTGTCATTAAAAAATAATCTTAACTTCGAAACTTGATTTGAAAACATTTTAAAACAAGTAAAAAATATGAATAGTTATTATTCCTATGAATAATTGTTGTACAATTTAAATGACTATATTATTATTACTGATATGTGAGATTTTCTTTTTGTGTGTGATTTTATTTTATAAATAATTTGTTCAATATTTATTTAAATTTCAAAATATATTATCGTGATGTAATGAAAAATCATTCAAATTCATAGCTTATGTATAATTTTATGTTTAGAAACTCGAAAATATTGATATTATGGTGTTAAATGTTAAGTGTTTCCTAAGGATCCTAAGAATTTATCAATTTATACAAAATCTGCAGAGTATCCTAAATTTGGTAAGTATAGGATGTTCTCTGTACGAGATGAGTATCTTTCTCGAAGCATGACACAGTACCAGCCTCTGTTGTATACAATTCAATTGTTTTGTTAGCTTATATTATGTTACTTCAAATGCTTCTCACAAACTTCAATCTGACCTGTCTGATATCCATCACGTCGATACCTGAAAGATAATATTTAACAAACGTCGAATTATATATAACACATTTACTCCAGCCAAAACACGAGATAGTACGAATATAACACGGATCGTATGTTAATGCATTTTATTCGCTGAAAGGAAAATAAAAATCCGAATAAGATATCGGATTTAACGATAAGACCATGAATTTTCTTTGCTCCGAATCGAATTGAATTCTGTACGATATGATCTTTTGCGGCGAGGAGAGTATGATAGAGAAGGGAGTAGAATGATGATAAAATTTGAGAAATGAATGCACTGTAAAGGAAACGCTAAAAAAGAAAAAAAAAAAAAAAGAGTGAAAAATGAAAAGACGAAAAAGTTGTTCGCGATTTGTGGTGTCGGTGGTGCGTGGTAATGTGACTAGCAAGAGCATTTGTTTTGTTTATCGTTACGAAAGGAGGGGCCAATGGCTACGGGTATGCAGGCTACGCTGTTAAACTATGGGGGGCAGCATGGGTTTGGTCGGTGCAGCGTTGCCTCGCAAGGAAGCTTCGAGGAAGATGAGTGCGACTCAAGTGAAGAACTTATAGGGAACGCATCTGGTGGGGGCCAGTCCGAGTCGCAGACTGCGGAGCTCCAACCAAAACTGGCCCCGATCAGTGGCTCTACGGAGCCCACCACCGTTTTCAGGCTTCACTTTCTTGGATCGGTTGAAGTTGAAGAGGAAGGGAGACGTAAGCGCCTTAACAACCACATAGTGCGGGAGGCTGTGACTAAGATCAAGGTCCGCCCTCCAACCCTTAGATGTATCATTATATTCTATTTTATAATCGTTGTTATGTTCGACTCTCCTATCTTCAACAAATTGCTTTTCTTTTTCATTCCTCGTTTCTCTTTGCATCACCCCTACGCTTTCTTTCACTGACAACGAGTACTCGAGCTTTCTGTATGCGTATATTACTTATGTTATTATTCCATCCTTAAAATTTAATTATTAATCTGATATTTTAACAAATATCTCTTTGATTAGAAGAAAGAATTTTAACAATTCTAATAAGATTTCTAATAAAATTTTAATATTCTTAGATAGTTGGTAATGTTATATATATATATATATATATATATATATACCAAGTATTTTAAACGAATAGTATAGTTAACAAGGAAAAATGGTAAATCGATGATGCAAAATTCTTGTGATTTTTAATAAGAGACATTATTTGACAAAAAGTATAAATTATAAAAATCTGTCAGGCATATATAAGTTTGTGATATTTAGAATACTATTTTTTTTTTTTTTTTTTTTGCTTATCAATTGTAATACAAACACGTGAAATATTACTTGTCAAGTATTGATTACTTCCAAAAGTAATGAAACTATTACTTGAATTTACCGCGGGAAATCAATCACTGCAAGAAAAAGAATAATTAAGTTTTGTGCGTACATTCCGTTAGAAGTGATTGACAAAATATCTTTAATTCAAATAAAATAATTTTATCTTTCCGTTGATGAAACTTAAATTTCTAAATTCACGAGCATTAGACCAAGTACTTTAAAATGATAAATTCATTTTAAAATCAGAAACAACGCAATTAAAAATATAACGATGTCATTTAAAAAACATTAATAAAATTAAAATCCTTGAGAAAAATTTTTCTTGCCATACCTATATATATAATTCTTCAAACACTATAATTCTTACCCTTAAATCTTTGACACAACAACAGAAATATTCATGTGTTTTGTTTTTCGTAATTTATTTCTGTATTATTGCAATTTCTCATTTTCGTTTTCCAATTTGTCAAAACCTCAATATTTCAAATTTTTTACATGAAAGTCTATGATTCGTTAGTCATATGCTGGCAGATCTTTTTTTATTATTCTTTTAAAACAAGGATATGTATAATGTATGAGTCTAAGTACTAATGATCTAAAATCTAAAGCTACTTATACATATTCAATCATTTCATTGTGCAAGTTGCAGTATCGATATCGGTGTAAGAATCAATATAGGTATTTTGATTAAAGAATAAGATCTGATGATTTCAATATATTAGTTTCAAAGATTATATGATCAAGATAAAAAAATTAAGCCTTCAGATTGGGTAAAATGATGTACGATCACTTGGTCTCCAACTTTTTATCGTTTTATCATTTAGATCTGTATTATATGTCGTATTTTACATAGATACCAATCATTATTACTGCTTAATGGTAATTCAATGATTTACGACGTCGCTCTGTCATGATCTAAATCTAAAGTATATTTGGAAATTAGAAGCTCAATTGGGAAACAACGCTGAAGATCTTTATTTGGATGAAAGAAAATAATTTGAAATTCACTGTGATAAGAAGTAACTATTAAAGACTCATTGATTTCTAGAACTAATTTCTCTTGATAGATCGAATCAAACTTTTTATATTTATTTTACTCGTTATGGCAAACTTTCAAATTTTATGGAAAATTTTGATTCAATTTTTAAAAATAAAAATCGTGATATATTGAAACATAATTCAGAAGCTATTTCCCTGTATATGGAGAAAGATTGAAGAGCTTCACAAATTATTAGGTTGTCATATGAAATGTCGTAAAAAGTTTATTGAATATTTTTGAAAATTATTTTCAGTTTTTATCAAAATAGACATTATTCGCATCCACGATGTTCTTCAACGAGATTCTAATGAAAAAATATCCTTCTCGAAGATATCTTGATTTTTAGAAGAGATAAATTTTTCGAAGGTCAGAATTACAGAAGTTCTGTCTCTGAACATTTTTTGATGCAAGAATGATTCCGAACTTCTGAAAAGGCAAAAATTTGCTAGAGAAGTATCTGGGGAATAGGGAGAATGAAAGACACATCGCGAACACAAGAGAAGTATGAACATTTGCAGTGAACATATTGAAAAAAGCACGTCTAGAAAAAAATAAAAGTCAAAATTCATTTTAAAAAAACACCTTCTCCGAATGCAGAATATAACAAGCTTTCCAAAGATACCAAACAAGCATCAACCGAGCAAACCAATATTTACATGTTGAATAAATGCAAATCCGACATTTCATGTGACCTATTTAAATATATATTACTTGTATACTGACGAAGAATCAGATCTCCAATACGACATTTATTTGAAAGCTGCATATTTGAAAACTATGTTTATTATCTTCTTGAATACGAAAATAAAAATTACTGAATGTAAGTAAAATAAGAAAAGCCTGATCTGTTATTACAGAATACATAATTCAATTTTGCAAATTTGAAATAATCCAAATATAGTATTTCATGTCATTTTTATTAGGAAGTTGATTAAAATAATTCTATAATCCTAAAATAAAAATAATCGAATATTATTATTCATATCTTCCAACACGCGTCCAACATTGGCATTGACTCCATTCTGAATCAATTCTAGGATTTGAGAATCACTCTGCATCAGTTAAATGAAACTACCATATTTAACTGGTAACTTGTATTTTTCATCTATATAAGAGACTTATGATCCAAAAAATGTTTGCTTTAAAAATGCTTTAACTTTAATAAATTTCAAGATTAGATCAAAATCATTTAGTTCAGAGATGTTTAATTACCGGCCCGCGAGCCCTTGCCCCTACTTTCTTGATCGCGTTAGCTCTGATTTAGTTATGTGAACCTATTATTCATATACTTGACATAATGTTCTCTCAAGATATACTTATTCTGATTAATCTAGTCGCATGACTCTGAGTCACTTGTGAACTTTCAATTCATTATTTTATTTGATTTGAAGTATGTATCTTTTCTAAGCTCCAAGTAAAGTTAGTTTTTTCATTTGAATGGAATAATAGTTACTAAATAATGCAATATTGCTAATATTAATTGTCTAAACTGAATCTACTTTGGATGCATTTATAACAATTAACCCTTTAAATATTTAAAATCGCTAAAAATCTAAAATGAGGGATATATAATAAATTAAGAATGCATTCATCTTTTATTACATATGCAACATATTATCTTTTAATATATTTATTCAATATATTGTAATATATTATTTTTTTGAATTTCTAACAAATAAACCAATTATTAATTATAAGATTATCTATACAATATACTAGTAAATACTCAAGGAGTTGATAAAGTAATACTGAAACCTAATTGTGTAAACACCTAAAGTGTTTGATTTGTGCAAATGCAAACTTCAAATAAAATCAATTGATATTGATTTGAATAAACAAACATTACACTTTTTTTACAATAATTCATCTCATTTGAGCTATTAATCTAGTAAATTATGAATGAAATAGTTTTATTACTTTTGAAACAGATTATGTACAATGAAAAGAATGGATCTTACTTTATTAGATTAGCAATAGATAAGCTCACAATTCAATTATATAATATATTTTTTAAATCAGTAACTATATTCTTAACAATTACATGTTAAGAGCAACAAGTACATATATAGCGACCTGTACAGCAAACATAAATAAGACTCAAGTGATTTTAAACTCAATGTTTAAGATATTCAATGATATATTTATTTCTGCATTTTTCAAAACAATATTTTGATAAAATTTTAATTTTGATTGTGTTATTTTTACATTTATTACTTTAAATGCCCACTTTTGTTATAGTTGCAACAAAATTCAGTGATTATTCACCGTTTCACACACTGACTGATTTCATTTTTATCAAGTTTTTTATAATTTGAAAAATCTCTGAATTAGATTCAAAATCTTGAATCAAAAACAAACAAATAAGGAGAGAAAGAGTAAACTTTCTATGAATATTAAAGTAGATATATAAGATAGTTACAATATGTCATTATTATAAAATCAAAATAAAATAAGAACAAAGATAATGTAGAGCAAAAATATTTTTAATAGATTAATAATTCTATTAGGTAAAAATTATCGAAATTTACTCGTTGTCATTGAAAATGGGTATAACTAGACATGATTATTTAAACAGATTGTATTGTTAATGTACAATATTTTTCACAATTATGCGTGACACACGTTGATGAGGTTTTCTTGTTAAACTCTCAGGTTTACAGAAGTTTCGCATTTCAAGCTTATCAGTACAAAAAAATATACATATGGACGTTAATTCTGTTTCACCAAACGTATTAATAATCGCATTTTTAATGTTGCGCATCATTTCTTATAATAAACTTAATCATAATCTATAGTTAGATTACTTACAGCATTTTTCCTTACTGTTTTTTACTGTATATTACTCATCTTCATTAATTAATTAATTGCTTTCTTTATTTTATTCTACATGCTGCTTCTTCATAATAGGCATTGGTACGTATTTCTTATAATACCATTTTAATTATTAAATACTTGAGCATAAAAATACTTAACTATTGAAAAATTTGTGTATATAGAATAAAAATCTAAGATAAAGCAAAATATATGTATGGATAGTTAAAAATAGATACTTCTTATTGTTTACTATTTTCATTCTAAATAATTTTTAATGAAACATAATCAATAACAATATTTTTTAAATATTTTCTAGTACAAGCAATGGAACAAATTTAGTAACACTTTAGTGCTCTAAAATTAAAATTATACAGGAATTACACATTCGTATAAATAAGGTCTTTAATGTAAATGTGTTTCTAGTAAGATTTGTTAAAATAACTTATATTATTATATAAAATTCTTCTTTCTAATTTCAAGTCAGTGCACCGGTTTCGTACATCGGTTTCTTATGTAACGAAAAGATGTTGAATAATTGTTAATGTCGGTTAATAATAATCGTAAATAATTCTATTCGATTTATACTATTGATAAAAATATAATAATATTTTAGTAGAGTATAAAATAAAAATATAATAATATTTTAGTAGAGTATATAGTAGCTCTGTATATACAATGGCATCCAAAAGATTCCAGATTGTGTTTGTAATTTTTTTTTTAGTAAGAAAAATTCTAAGGCGTTTTTGTTAATATAATAAGTAATATAATTCATCCATATTTATATGTTGAAAACTACAAAAGAAGTCAACGCTATTTTGACTTCATATTTATATATTTAAAGAATAACTAAATTGATGTATTCAAAAGTTCTCGATCAGTACCTATTGTAAATAAAGGTCAGTGAGTGTTTATAATATTATGTAGAATTATTACTTCAGAAACGAAAACAAGATCCGAAAGATATCTGTTGAAGTGCGTAAAATTGTGATAAAATTGTTTCGGAACGGGGAAAGTCATCTCGCAAAATTGCTTCAACGTTATGTGTCGGAAGAAGTACAATAAATGATATAATTAAAAGATGTCATTCTAGCCGGATACGGAGACTAGAAAATCGTCCGCGAAATGGAAAGCCACGAAAAACCAAGAAAAGAATTGATAACATTACGAAACTACGTAAAAAAAAAAAAAACGGGATTAATCTAATTACAGGAAGAAAATGTTGCTAATGTGAATCGATGTGTAGTCTTAAGAAGATTAGACGATGTACGACTTTTTGGTACAGAGTTAGTTAATCAATAAAAAAAATAAAATGACCCGATTAATGTTCGCCAAAAAGTATGGACTTTTGAAAATTGGAGAACTATCCTTTTTTCGAACGAATCTAAAGTTAATCCATGTAAAAGTGATGAAAGACATTATATATATCGTCGAGTTAGCACAAGAAATGACTCTATGTATCAAAGTTTAATTATTAAATATGTTGGAGAAGGCATTATGGTATGGAAAAATTTCTCCATCCCCCATGAGGGAGTTGGTCCTCATAAAAATTGAGGGCATCGTGACTGGTGTTAAGTATAGGCAGATTTTAGAAATGCACCATGCGCACGACAACAATCCGAAACATGTTTCGAAAATCGAAAAGGTTGGTTATCTGTAAATAAAGTGCAGATTTTAGACTGATCCTCTTAGTCTGCAGATTTAAATCCCATTGAATACCTCTGGAGAGAGATGACATCGAATAAAAAAGTACAGAAGTTGTATCAAAAACAGAATTATATCAAAATTTATTATAATAATGGCATAAAATATCACAGGATTATATAACTCAGTTAATCAAGTATATGCCACATCAGTGTGCCGCTGTTATTAACGTAAAGACGATGGTTACAAAATATTAAGTATAACATGTTAAATAATATATATTGAACTGTTATATAACTAAAAACAAATATTATTTTTGTTGTCAAACACACTGGTCGAGAACTTGTGAAAACGCTGGTTTATTTATTTTTTAAATAAACACGTATAAAGAATAGATAGTTGATCTTTTTATAGCAACTTTTCATGTAATGTGTTCTTTATATATCATAATAGTACAAAGTCCTTAAAATTTTTTGTAGGAGGGAAGTTGTAAAAACGATCTTGCCGGGAACTTTTGAACACCACTATCTGTATATTTTGCATGTATACTACGTATACATATTACGTATATATACAGAATATATACATTTATAAATTATTTTTATTGTAAATTAATTCTTCTATATTTGTAATCAATTAAATAGTGATGTAATATTTTAATATATATGGATTTGAATGTTTTAATTTTGTATGTTATTAAATAAAAATGTGTGCGCACAGGCACCGGATGGCGAAACACAACCGAGTACAGAAGTCGACTTGTTCATCTCAACAGAAAAAATAATGGTTTTGAATACGGATCTAAAGGAGATCATGATGGATCATGCATTAAGAACAATATCTTATATAGCAGATATTGGTGATGTAGTGGTGCTAATGGCACGAAGACGATTTGTGCCACACGAAATGGAGGAGGCACCGAAAATCAACAGAACTCCAAAAATGATTTGTCACGTGTTTGAAAGTGAGGAGGCTCGATTTATTGCACAAAGCATTGGACAGGCATTTCAAGTGGCTTACATGGAGTTCCTCAAAGCGAATGGAATAGAAGATCATAGTTTCGTGAAAGAAATGGATTATCAGGAGGTACTCAATTCTCAAGAAATATTTGGTGATGAACTACAGATGTTTGCTAAAAAGGAGATGCAAAAAGAGGTAATTCATTTGTTTCTATATTATATATGAAAATTTTATCCAAAAATCTACCAAATACTACAAATTATATCTGATACACGTATAATTTGTAATGCATCAACCAACTTTGCTGTGGACTTCGGGGTCCATGGAGTTCTTATTTTTTAAAAATATATCGTGTATCGAAATTATGCTTGTTAAAGGATCAAAAACAATTAATAATTTCGATATTCCTTTAGAAAATGTAAAGTCCTTAAAAAAAAACAACAAAAAATCCGTAACAGAGTTAAATCGTTCAATATAAGCTTTTTATAATATTTCTTACTGATCAATCAACGAATAACAAGCATTTTGGTATTTACATATTGAAAAATTAACAATGAGATGTGTATGTTTGTTTTTGAATCCTTCTTTTATATGAATTTCATGAAAGAAATATAGTTATGAATATTATTTGTGTCTTTATAAAAAATATTTTCGCATATACTTGCAGGAGGTAGTTTTCTAATTGCACTAAACAAAAAATTTTAATTTTAAAGATCAGCAATGGTCTAAATTTTATTTCAGAGTATTCGTAAAGAAAAGATTCATGACACGTTAAATAAAACTCAAGAAGTGTCTAAAAATTTCAACATTCAAATACTATAAAAATTGGAAGTTTCTAAATAATAAATAATAGATTACAAAAATGTTGGCATAGATAATTTCCTTTATAAAATCCTGTGCAAATCTATGAAAAATACGATTCAAGTCAACGATTTAAACTATTTAAAGTATAAATAAATCATAATTCTTCGTAATTCATAGTCATTAAACACAATAAAAAATTATTTTAGCAATAAACAAATATTAATACACTTTCAATTTTATAGTTATTGCAATATTTGGTTTCTTTTGAATTATATTTGCGTTCGTTTGTTTCTTGTTTTTTATTTTATTTTATTAATCACCTGTAACAAAATGATCATTAAACTGAATCATACAAATATCTATTTCAGAATTTCATAGAAATACTGAATTATATTTTTTATTATTTATTTATATTGTTCAATCAATATATTTTATAATCATGAAGTTTGATTTACTTTAGAGTCAAAATTATAATGATAATAATAAAAAAATTGAACAAATTAAATTTACATAGCATTTTATAAAAGGATCTAATTTGTACCAATACTTTTCTTTACCACTGTGTGAAGAAGGAATAATTTCTAATAAAAAAGAATCTAAATAAAGAAGTAAATACAATAAAATTTTCCATTATCAACCCCTACTATTCATTATCCGAGCAAAATATTTACTAGTAATGGATGTTTCTTTCTATACAATTTATTTTATACACATTATAATATGGTGTGCTATGTTTTTCACAATTGCGCAAACAGCTTATTGAAACAGTGAAATACAAAATTTTACTAAAAGAACAATATCGATGGAATATGATATAAAAGTAACTATGTTTAATTCCGTGATAAATCAATGTTTCGTTTATAAGCGACGAAGATGACATAAACATAATTTTTCTACAAAATGAGATAAGAAATGAAAATGATTAGAATGTGTTACAGTAAAAAAGGATTTACTTGTGTCCTATAGAATTACTTGTGCTAAAAAAGTAGAAAAATATATAGCGTTCTTAAATATTAAGTAATTCGAAGTAAACAGACAATTTTCTTGATCTTCATTTTGATATATACAATTTATCGGAAAAATGGTTGTTCTATTATCCGAAAATTAATCGAAAGCTCTTATAATTTCTTAATTAAACTTTACAAAGATTTATCATTGAATGTTCACAGGTTGTGGTACCAAAAGCAAAAGGCGAAATTTTGGGAGTAGTAATTGTTGAGTCTGGATGGGGTTCGATGCTACCGACAGTTGTAATCGCAAATTTAGCACCAGCTGGTGCGGCTGCTCGTTGTGGACAATTAAATATTGGTGATCAGATAATAGCCATCAATGGTGTTTCGTTAGTTGGCTTGCCTCTCTCTACTTGTCAGACTTACATCAAGAATTCAAAAAATCAGACAGTCGTCAAGCTAACTGTCGTACCGTGCGCGCCAGTAGTCGAGGTCAAAATCAAAAGACCTGACACCAAATATCAATTAGGATTTAGTGTACAGAATGGAGTAATATGTAGTCTATTGAGAGGCGGAATTGCTGAAAGAGGAGGTGTTCGAGTGGGTCATAGGATTATCGAGATTAACAATCAAAGTGTCGTCGCCGTACCACATGAGAAGATCGTCAATCTTCTTGCCACATCCGTCGGCGAGGTATGTATCAATTTTTCGTTTACTTCTGTCTTACATTCTTCATCACATGGTAGTAACATTACACATTACTTCTCATCATTTTTTAAATATACAGAGTAGTCCATTTAAATCAGGCTATCTAAATATTTTTTCGAATTATGATGATATAAAAAATATTTTTTATCTATAAAATAAATGGTATCGAAAGGCCAATAACTGGTACAAGAAGGTTTTCTTCGAAGTTTTCAAGATCATTGATATTTTTTTCATACAACTGTATGTTTTTTTTTTATTGTTCAGTGTATGTAAAAAAAATGATCTTGAAAATTTAAGCCAACTTAGCCAAAACACGAGGGCATAATAATAATTGTAAATAAACATGTTTACTATTTATTCATTATATCAATAATAATCCATTTATTCATATGTATTTTTTTGCCTGCTACACGATATAATAAAAAATATATATAGTTGTATAAAGAAAAATATCAATTACCTTTAAAACTCCAAAAAAAAATGACTGTCGAAAAAAAATATTTTTGTATCAATTATTGACCTTTCAATACCATTCTTGTTAGCCAAAAAATATTTTTTGCATCATCACAATTCAAAAAGATGTTTCGAAGCTTCGCTTAAATGTACATCTTGTACATAGTTAATTTATTTAATTTATTTAATTTATAGTTAATTTATTTAATTTATTTAATATATAGTCAATTTATTTAATATATAGTTAATTTATTTAATTTATTTAATATATAGTTAATTTATTTAATTTATTTAATATATAGTTAATTTATTTAATTTATTTAATATATAGTTAATTTATTTAATTTATTTAATATATAGTTAATTTATTTAATTTATTTAATATATAGTTAATTTATTTAATTTATTTAATATATAGTTAATTTATTTAATTTAGTACGCAGTAAATTTATTTAATTTATTAATTATTTGTCTTTATAAAAAAATATATGTATATCGAAATAACGATGTTTCTTAAAACATTGATAATTAAAAACATCAATTCATATATTTGAATAATTGTATTTTATTTTATTAAATAAAACTAATTCTCTACCGCTACTTTTTTTCTAATAACAACAAACTATTGAGTTTTAATTCTAGATGCTAAGTCAGAAAGGCATTTATTTTTATAATTTACAGTATATTAAAAATTACTTGCTTATATATTTGTGATATATAATCGTCATTATAATACATCTCTTATCATTTCTATTTTATTTCAGATATTAATGAAAACGATGCCCACGTCGATGTTTAGGCTACTAACTGGCCAGGAATCTCCAGTGTACATATAAGCGTTTGATTACCTGGCTAATATGCGTAGTGAACAGACAATACATCCGCCATCCACTACCATATTATTCAATATTTTACTCTCTGTACAGATTTATTCTACGCAAATTGCTTTGTGTTTCGATTCTTGTGAAATTCTATTCGTATATTCTCACCAGCTCCTGCTAGCAAAGCAACAGAACTTACGTAAACACGTTGCGACAAATATTAATATATTGAATATTTACATAAAGCAAAAAAAAAAAAAGAATATATATATACATATACATATATAAATATATATCACAGTATATTATATTATATATTATATGTATATATAAATATATATATATATATATACACATAATATATACATAAACATACATGCATACATAATATATACATAAACATTTTATTTATGAATGAGATTCTCTATGTCTATTTTCCAATCTATTGAAAAATATGATTATGACCATAAAATATGTGCAGATACTAAAAAGACTATTATTAATCGTTTCTTATTAATGTGAAAAAAGATCATTGTATATTTTACTTGAAAGTTGTTGATTCGTAACATAAGCTTATTATCAATTACATACAATTCAATGTTAAGCAATTTTTGAAATAAAAAGCAATAACTTTTATGTTTGTATACATTTATGTACATCTTTAGGCATTCTGTATGAATAATTTTTTTATTTCAAATAATATTATTTTTAATGCATATTTATGAGAGTATCGTAAAACAATAGACACAATTAGCATTAGTGTTCTTTCTGCAAAAAAATACAGAAAAGGAAATAAGAAATTGACTATTTAATTAAATTCCGCCTACTCATATATGACGAACAAAGAAGTATTTATATATATACTTTGGAAAATACTTTAAGACATCGAGAATCACATTCCACGCGTGATAATAAAAGCGAAATATGCTGTGCACACGATTATACATAGCACAAAGCTCTTTACCACCGTTTAGAGCGGGGCTGGAACTCTCTGTATGTACATTACATAGTTAACGACGGAGTATGTTTCTACAGAGGCCTTCATATATTTTTGTTGGCTTCGTGAAAATTACATCATTTATTTAATCATCGTTATCCACGAGTTGCAATTCTCTGATTTTTTATTTTTTATTAACATCGAAATTATGTAATATCTCAAATGCAATGTCTCGTGATAAGTATCACGGTAATTATACGGAAGAGTACTCCGTAATATTTCATTATACCAACATTCTATTGTTTTTGTTTACAATGATACTTTTACAAGCGCCTCTTTTAGTAGAAAAATACTTTTCTTTATTAAAATTATTTTTCTGGATACTAAAGTGCTGCTACTGTCTAATAAGGTGTCTATTTCAATAATGCTACATTCTAAATTTAAAATTTTGCTTATGCCTTGATAATTTTTGCAAAATAAAAGACTCTTAACAACAAAATTTAACATTCAAAAATATGAAAATATTATTTGTCTGTATACTGATGATCATAAAGCAAATAATATGAATAATTATTTTTTAAATTTTATTTCGAGATTAACAATTGATAATAATACTTTATGATTTGCTATTGGAATAATTATATGATTAATAAAACGACATCTATGTGTAACATAACGCGTAAAAATAAACGCACTTATTTTTCTTATGATGGCCGATGATATCTTAAGATCATCAGTATTGCAATTTTGGTGCAATAACACATAATTTTTTCACAATTAATGTAATGAAGCGAGAGCAATCTTATTAATTATGCAACCATTTATCACGATTAAAATATGCTCTTATTAAACTACTTAGAAAATACTGTTTACCTATGAAATATAAATTAAATTAAAAAAAGAAGTCTTAATCTCAACTTTATGTAATATTGCGACTGAAAAATGATTAAAATTTACAAGTGTAACAAGATAATATCAGTATGGAGAGGAGTTCTCTTCTATGTAAATACCGCATGTCATATTAAGTTCCATGTATTTCTATTACGACATTTTTTGCAAAAAATTTTTCACTTTTTGCTTCAAACTGTCGACAGATACGCAAATTTTATGATTTCTAATGAAAGTTTGATAAAATTTTAATGCCAAAGTACATTATTAATATGTCAGATTGCATGATTTTTCTAATTATTTATTATAATATATGTAAATAATTTTTTTTGCAAATTTCAGTTCGTAATAATTTTTGTTTTATACATAAACTTTCATAGAACACATCAGGGTTAATATTTGTAAAAAATTACGTAACATTACAAAAAGACTTATGTTATTAATATTTTTTTATGTAAACAGAAATACCAAGTTTATGATGAAATTTCTCGTTATTTTTTTGCTTTTATATTTTTATTTTTATTTTAGTATATCAGAGAAAACATTTTTTTTCTTTTGTTGTAAAACAGATTATATTTTCTTACTTTAATTTTTTTTTTATTTATAATATTACTTTCGAATCTTTTATTTGCCATTTTGTTATTTTATTACTAACATATATGAATTAAAATAATTCATATAATATATATGGATACATCAAGATTGATTGAACTTGATATTTATTTTAAAAAAACATTTTCTAAACAAATAATATGTCACTGTCTTATTATAGATTCATAATGTAAGAAATACACAAACTGCAACATTTTTTGCATATTACTAATGAAATTCCCAATTAAATTCTTTTGGACAAAGTATACTTTAACTTAAGTACAAAATTACATAATTTTTACTAAAAGAATTATTCAAACTTTTTATGTTATTAATATTTTCTCTTCTGTTTTTGTTTAATCATAATAATCATTTGAAACGTGATGATTATACATTATTATAGTTAGAATTTTCAATGACATGCCTTTAGCATAACAAAAAAATTTTTTAAGTGATTAAAACAATCTTATGTTGTTGCATAATTGTTTTGTGTATTTTATTTTACGTCTAAATAAAAATAAATATATCTTACAGAATGGTACAATCTTGAAATATTTATGTTATCGAAGATTATGTTACTTTAGATTATTTCCTGAATCTTTCATAAAAAAATTATTATATGAACATTTTTTAAATGTAAAAAGGAAATTGGAGAGAAGAATGAGAACAAAGGAAAGAATGAGTGTGAAAGGAAATAATATAAACGGATATATTATATGATTTTACAAACCCTCTCTGAACTGGTTTGTTGTAATATCAGGTAATATGTACAAAAATGTAGTTTATACTGATTTTATTTTATCTGCATTTGATCAGTGCCATTTATAATGCCCTGGAATTGAACTTCTTTATCTTATGTTTTATTAAATATAAACATGCGCATGCTTGTGTAACGGATCTGAGTGGAAAATACTTTCGTTTTAATTCTAATAGAATGATTTGAAAATTTTTATTCAAACACTATTTCAAATGAATGACAAACAACGTTTTATTTAAAAATTGCAATATTGTCGAATGCACACAAATATATAGCACATTTTTAAAGATAGTTATAAGAATATTGCTGCAACCAAAGAAATTATGTTTCTCAACGCATAAAAATTTAATAAATTAAATAAAACTGCTTATATACATATAATACAATAGTTTTGTGTCATTTTATTAAAATTTATTTAAATTTAAGTACATGTTTCTATCGAGAAATACAGTTCTATTAAACAAAAAACTGATATAAAAAGTTGATTTCTTCCACTTTATCTAATACCTCACAATTCAATTTAAAAAAATTCTTAAAAATTATTATCACTGGTTTTTTTCAAAAATTATGCTTTATTCATGAAAACAAAGCAAAGCAAAATTATAACAAATACATACACACTAATGTATGCATTACAATAAACTGGCATAATTCATACATATATATATTGATATAATTTATATTTATTATAAAACGAATATAATTATGCTATAAATATCAAAGCAATAATATAATATATTTGCATTAATATAAGCCATAAACTTTCTGTTTGCAATGTATGATTTCAATTAAAAGAAAATATTAAATTTTGCATTGCAACTTTTTTCAGTGAAATATCCTTATTTGATGCTGGATGTAAATTCACAACAATCTATAATTCATTGAAATAAGTTTAAAGATTTTTTGAAATTTATCGTTTAGAAGTAATATCACATAAACAATATTAGTAACAATAACAATTCCTACAAATAATAATATATAGACTAAAATAAATATAAGAATTAAAAATATATTACGTAATCAGATCATTATATTTTTAATGAAAAATATTTTCGTAACATCTTTTATTATCATTAGGAATTAATCTTCGATTTAAGTTCAGTTGTGCATTCCTAATGGACATATTATACATATGTATCACACTATAGTTTTATATAATGTTTTAATTTCATTTTTTTTGTATAATTACAAAAATAATTCTGGATCTAACGGTTAATATCTACTTATTTGTATATTTCATATTTTAGTTAAAATATTTTATCATTTCCAAGATTATATCTAAGAAGTTATAGAAATCCTAAACGTATAAAAAAAAAACATTTTGTATGATATAAATCCACTCGATACGTTTCCCAAGAAATATTTTTGTGTTGATCGCAATGTTACTATCCTGTTTGTAATCTATTCAATGCAAGATAATTTATATTTATTTATTGACACAACGTCATTATTCATAATCCATTAATATTTTGATTATGTATAATTTTTCTTATTATTACATACCTGCATAATGTATGTATGTATTTTAAATAAATGAAAATCATTTTAGATTTAATACAGCAAGCAGAATAGCAATGTAAAAAATATATAAATATAACTCTATTAGTAAAATCTCATGCTGTTTGCACGTTGAACGTTATTTGATTTATAAAAAATATAGATTAGAAAGATTATCATTATGCATAATATTCCCATTCAGAAATGATAATTAATATTTGCCAGTGTTATTAATGTATTTTAGAATATTTATTACTTAGTAATAAATAATGTTTAATTAATATCATAATTGTGAAATGTATACGAAATACTTATAATTAATTCTTTTATATTTTTCAATTCTAAATTATAACCATTTGATTGAAGGGAGGGAATTAAGATTTTATTTATATATACACATTTTATTATTTCTGCTAATTCTCAACATTTTTCATTTATATTCCATTTTCATACATAAAATATAAGAAATACTTTAAATTTTAAAAAATCCTTGACTTTGATTGATGTTGTCATTTATGAAAAAAAGAAATGTGAAATAAACTTTGTTAATTGATCTTTTAATCTATTCGATATAAATTACAATACAGAAGATATTTTACTGAGTAATATGAAAAAATGGCAGACGTAACTTGTCAA